AGGGATGTCTGTCCTTTCAGAACACTTCTATTGCTGCTGATGGGGTGGGATTTCAGCCCAGGAAGAGCAGGGGCTGTTTGCCAGCCCTGCCCAGGAGAAGGAGCAGCACTGGGGAGAGTCACCCACATCACTGCAGCCACCCCACATCACTGCCCCCTCTCTCCCTTTGCTGCCTCAAAAGGAACCAGTTATGTCCCACAGAAAAAAATAATCTGGCTTGGGAAGATTTTGGATCATACAAAGATTCAAGTAGTGTTAAGTGAACTAGAAAACCACGTCCTGTACATCAGCTTACAAAATTTCTAAATAAAATAATAAAAAAGAAAGAAGAAGAGGTGTGACACATCAGTGCAGGGGGTGAGGTGGTACAGCAATGCCCCTCCACCCCAGCCCCTGGGACCAAAGCCCCCAGGGAGGCAGGGTCTGGGTGCCACCATCCCACGTTCCCTTCCACCACAGAAGTGTCCCCTCATCTGTCTGTCTGTCCGTCTGTCAGCAGGGGGCCGTGGCTCTAAAAGTCCTGCAGCCGTGAGATCAGGTCCTCCTTGTTCTTCAGCAGGAACTTCTCGCAGGCCTCGAAGGTGGAGCAGATGTCTGAGGACAGCCCCGCCACGTTGGTGGTGACGTAGGTCAGGTACCCCGGCATGGCCTGGTTGTAATAAGCCACCTGCAGGGCACAGGGGGAGGTCAGCAGGGCCACAGGGCGGGGAGGAGCCTCCCCCAGGGGCTGTGGGAGCATCTCCCACCTTGCTCATCTCCTGTGACTCCGGCCAGATGCAGAAGCCGGAGCAGAGCGTCTCCCCGCGTGTGAACTCGGGCCTGGCGGGGTGCGTGGGCAGCGTCACCGAGCGAAAGGCCACCACGTAGGGGTCCCTGGGGACGACACAGCCCGGTCAGCTGGCACAGCCTGCGAGGCAGGGAGCGGGGCTCGGGCTGGACACTCACCCCTTGCTGCAGGGCTTCCGCCGGGACGCCAGGATAACAAAGTCCTGCGGCTTGTTCTCATTCCTGAGCTTCTGGCTCACCACGTGGTAGATCATGTCATCGTCATCGACCTTCTGGACAAGCTCAGCACTCCTGGAAGGGGAGGGGACTGGTCAAAGAAACCCTGCTGTGCCCCTGAATTTGGGCCTTACACATTTACAGCCCACCAGCAGACCCAAAATATCTGGGGGGACCCAAAATGGATGTTTGCTCCAGCAAAGAGCAGCCATCAGCTCAGATGGAGCCAGGACAGGGGCACACCGTGTGAGGGGTCTCCAGGAGCAAGCAAGGTGTTCCA